AACTCTAAGTTTATATTATTTTGCTTTTAAACAATGTGTCATGAAGCTCCGAATTATAAAAGTGTTTTATAACTTTTATTTTCATCTATTATGATACCATTTAGTATATTTAAAATGATAATGAGGAAGTTTTTGAAAATAAGGGGTTGTCTTGGCAGCCCAATCTGAAACTTTAGGTCAAATTAGGTTTAGAGTGTTACATATATAATCATTCAAATGAATTGACATTTAACTTTCGAAATAAATAAATGTTAATAAAAGGATCATTTTTTCAATTTTGGTTTCAACTTATAAATTTCACTGTTAAGATAACTTATAATCGATTCGGTACTGATTCCAGATGTTGTGGACATGCCCATCATTCTCTATACGTAATTGACTCTCAAATCCTTCCAAATGAATTTCTAGTGAAACTTAGACCAACTTTGTCTTTAATGATTTTTTTTAATTTCTTAAAAAATGATTGTTAGACATTTGACTTTATCTAACCATGACAACAAATCTAAATTATTTTTTTCTTACAATCAAGTTTCATCATGAGCTTAAAGACCGTTTCAACATAAAATATAATATATGCTATTTATTTAGGATCATATTTAATATGATTTTATGATAATATTTATAGTAATACTTTTTCTTTTTGTTTCTCTTCTGCCAAAAACATTACGCTTCCGTAAAAGAAGTTCTTTAATAAATTTATTAATTAAAAATAAAATAAAGACCATGGTTAGGAATTTTGACACAGTTACATTTTTTTCTACAAAATATTCAAAATTAAAATAAAAAATTCCAAAGTAAAAAAGAAAATTACATATTGACATAGTTCATACTTCATACTTGTGTGAAGACTAGATTATATATTTTAATAAAGAAATACAAAACATATTTTATAAACATGTCAACTAAAATGCATTCATTTGATGCAACTGTTTTTATTTATTTATTCATTATTTATGCTGCATATATTTTTAATTGAGTTGAAGACATGATGTAATACGTCAATGATATTAACTCAAGTAATAAACAATATTCATATTAATAAATTTCCATTTCTTAATGATGTACAACTTTATATTTTTCAAAATAGAAAGATATTTAGGTTGTTTTGTTGTGCTATACGGTGATTTTAAATTTAAAATGTTATCCGATTTAATATAAAATGTTATATAAATTTATAATATTTTTTATTATAACTAAAAAAGTTACATTGAGACTAATTTAAGATTTAGAATCGAAAAAATTGTACAATATAACAATTTCGTTACAATCGAAAATTTATGAAAAATGTAATATTTTCGATTATAGCCTAAAATTTTATTCGACGACCTAATAAATTATATAAATTTATAATATTTTCAATTATAACTATTTATTATTATTTTTTAACTTTATATTAACAAGTTTATTTCAAATTCTCCCAAACGTTTAACGAAAAACAATCGACTTCTTTAAAGATCAACATACTTTTTCTTACGGTATAATATATTTATTTGAGTACAATCAAGACTAACCAATATAACATAAAAAAGTATTTTAAAAAATGTAACATAAAAAGAGAATATAAATATCATAACTACTTTTATATAATTACAATTATAATTAACTATAATAAAGTATAAAATTATAAAAGGTAAACCACTAATAAAATATAACTAAATTTAGATTACGATAATTTTGTATAGAACTTAAAAATAACAATATGTAAACTAAATTAATATTACCTAAATTGTTTTACATATTATTTACATATAATGTGACTACAACAACAACAAAACCCAATTCCCATATGCAATGGGGTAAGGGGGAGGTAGGGTAGTAGGCTGCCTCCAACGCCAGGTTGAGAGTAGCTTCCGTGGAAGACCACCGGCAGTCAGAAAATTAAAAATATAGATAAAATGCAATGCATGTATAAATAAATACATAAATACATAGTTGAACAGTATTCATATGCAGTCATTAATTTCATTAATATCATATGCGCGTCTGTAATGGGCAGTAATCCCTACAAATAAATCCCTGCGAAAAAATCTCTGCATATAGACAGAAACGTAAGACCCAACTAAATTTAAAAGTGAAGAGAATGATACACAGAAGTCAACGATAGTAAACCCAGTTCTAAGCCTTCATAAATACCAATAACATAAACATATAAAAAGTAGAAGTCATGGAAATTACTACAAAGACATTAAAAGAAGACAGAGATGATACACCATAGAGATGTGACCCACACTACTCGACTATCATAGTCTTAAGTCTCCATACTTTCCTATTAGAGGTCATGTCCTCGGTAAGGGTTAAATCCATCAAATTAGATCTCAAGCAGTCTTCCCACTTCTGCCTTGGTCGTCCTCTCCTTCTGGCACCGTCGACTGTAATCGAATCTACCCTCCTGACCGCATCCGACGGTAGTCGCCTAAGGACATGCCCAAACCACCGTAATCTTCCTTCCCTCAATTTTTCGGAAACAGGCACCACCCCCAAGGACATCCTAATAGCAGAGTTTGTTGTCATATCCCACAGAGTCCTACTGCATGTCCATCGAAGCATTATCATTTCCGCGGCCTCTATCCTCCTTACATGATCCTTCTTGGTTGCCCAACATTCTGATCCATACAACAGCGCTGGTCTTATTGCCATTCTATAAAATTTTCCCTTAAGTTTTAGAGGCACCTTCTTGTCACACAAAACTCCAGTAGCGGCCCTCCACTTTAGCCATCCCGCCTTTATACGGTGTATAACGTCATCATCTACACCCCCATCTTTATGTATCATAGACCCTAGGTATTTGAAACAATCCTTTGAGGGGAAAACGTGTCCTTCTATGCATACTTCTACATCTTCATCGTTTTGGTCCCCACTGAAGTTTGAACATAAATACTCTGTCTTTTCAATATTGATCCTTAGACCTTTTTCTTCCAAAGCAGTCTTCCCGGTAGCCAGTCTACTATTCAACTCAGATTTTGTTTCAACAACTAGGACAATGTCGTCAGCGAAAAGCATACACCATGGTACACCGTCTGGTGTCGCACAATAGATGTCGTCCATAATCAAGGCGAAGATGTAAGGGCTAAGAGCCGGGTGGAGTCCGATTTCCACCGGGAAAGCCTCGGTGTCGCCAACTGTAGTGCTGACGTATGTAGTAGATCTACAATACATATCACGAATCTCCCGGATATAAGCAGTTGGGATCCGTCTCGTTTCCAAAGTCTTCCAGATCGTATAAAATAACATTTCGAATTAATTCAAACATTAAAATTAATATGATTTAGAAAATTTTGTCAATCATTTTGATGATACTAAGAGCAATTGACATCCTCTCGGTGTCCCAATAAAAAAGGGTAAACTAAGCATTTAGTATATAAACTATCAGTTTTGATCCGTTTTAATGCCTAAATTTTTAATTTTTTCAAAATCTTATCTAACGTTTAGTTTTTGTAACATTTTAGTACCCACCATTAAAAACTTAATGTGTTTAGTACCTTAACTATCAATTTTGATTTGTTTTAGTACCTAAACTTTCAATGTTTTAAAAACTTAATTTTAAATTTTGAACATGGTCCTAAAATGAAACAAAAACTAAACTTTAGGTATGGTTCTGAAAAATTGAAAGTTTAGGCACTAAAACGGACAAAACTAATACATTAAGTACTAAATAATTCATAAATTTTAAATTATATTTTTATATTTTTATAAAATATATATAACATCTTAAAAATAAATTTAAAATTTAAAATGTGATATTAATTATTAGTACTATTTAGTCCAACGAAAGAAGAAAAACAAAAAGAATTAAAACGATGGTTTAAGTATTACAGCTGGCAGTTTGCCAGTTGCTTTCAGCTGGGAAAAACGAATTAAATGATTTTTTTAAAATATTTGAAAAGTTAAATATAAAATCAGAATATATATATAAATAGAATATGACAGAATGAAATATGGGTGGTGAGTATAGTATTAAATTTCGGCTGAGTTAGTTGTTTTGATTGTGATGTATAATTGTTGTCATTGCGGTATTATAGTTGTGGACAAGGATTAATATATGATTTTATGATACAAGTAAATTTAAATTTTTTTAGAATAAATAGATTTATAAAATTTTAAAGGGATGGATAATTTTTTTAAGTAAAAAATAAAAAATTGAAAATATATATTTAATTTTTTTGAGCAATAACAATTGGATTTTATCAATAATGGAATGAATCGAAATTATATCTTATTAGAATAAAGAGATAAATTTGGAGACAATAATCACCTAAATACTCGAAGAAAAGTAAATAAAAAACTTAAAAATACAAAAAAAAATTAAAACCTTCTATTTATCATACAAACTCTTTGTTTATGTCGAATGAGATGCTTGAAGAAGTGATAAACAAGTGAAGAGCGAACCAAATAATATGGCAGGATGTTTCGCTACACAATTTTGATTACATCAACAAATAATCTTTTACCAAAAGAGAAAAAAAATGTACTGTAAAATATGAGGATCGTACCACAAGAACATATGAAACGTATGCCATAAGAGTAGAAAAAAATCATGTCACGTTGACAAAGATGTTTATTCAAAATTAAAAAGACTAAATAAAAAAAATATAAAGACATAATATAAAAAATAAAATAACTAATATTCTTCGACGGTCAACAATCAATATTAAAATTAATGTTATCGTCGACTAAATAAAGATAAAAAAAATAGAGAAGATAATACATAAATATTAAAAGAAAATTAGGTTAAGAGAACAGAGAAATAAAATATATATTTATTTTAAATGTATGAGGATGATTATCCATGCTCATTCATCTTGATTTATTCCGAATTATAAATTTTTCGGTGTAATTTACTTTGTTAAGAATAATTAGTGTTATATTTCATTGTGACCACAATTCAATAGTGACCGACAAGGACAGACGGTGAATGTTTGAGATGAAGGTTCCAATGGTGCCTCTCCATTACTTTCCCTTATAACTAAAACGCTTAAACCCAGAGCTTTCTACATTTATCTTCCTCTCCCCTATTACTTCTGCTCTCTTCTTTCATTCTGATTTGCCTTAATGAAATCGGAGGTTTCTGAAATGGAAGGCGGAGACGGTGGCTGTAGCAGCGGAGCTGGAAGGAGCAGTTGCGACACCTTCGCCCTTAGTGAACTACCTCAAGATTGCATCGCCCACGTCATTTCGTTCACTTCCCCTCGAGATGCCTGTCGCTTGTCGCTTGTTTCGACTACCTTTAAATCGGCGGCTGAATCCGACACCGTCTGGGAGAGCTTCCTGCCGTCGGAATACCAGGCTTCGATTCCCTCATCTCTCTGTTGCTCTTCCAAGAAACAACTTTATCTTAGCCTTTGTGAAAATCCCCTCCTCATCAATGGGGGCCGAAAGGTTTGACTTTTTGTTTATTTAATTTCCATTTCAAACTGAAAACTGAATTATTCGATTCCGATTTAGAATTGTTTTTTTCAACTTTGAGATGCTTTACATTATAATTTCAAAATTTTTAAAAAAATAGTACTCATTTGTTTCGAGGTCTCGAGTTTGAGCGTTGACAACCAGTGTTAACTCTAAAATGTTGAGTGTCTCTGAATAGATATTAATTTTTGTTGACTTCAAATTTAAAAGAAAAATACAAATATGATTGATTTTGTTCTTGATCCATGGACATATTGACCTAGTTTTTTGTCGGATGTTGATTTCGATGCAGCAGAGTCTTCAATTTGAAAGAGGGAGTGGCAAGAAAATTTATATGCTATCTGCCAGGGACCTCTACATTGTGTGGGCTGACACTCCTACGTATTGGAGGTGGATTTCAATACCTGAATCCAGGTACTTTAAAATGCATTCACTGAAGGTGATAACAATTGGGCTGTAAACTAGTCTGGTCGAATTCGAGTATTGTTGAACTCGACTCAAAAAATTTAAAGCTGAGTTCAACTCGATTTGAAAACTTGCGAGCTTAATATTTTCAAACTAGACTTGAGCTCGAAAAGGTTTTAATTTGAAACATTTTTAAACTTAGCTCGACTAAAGCTCAAACTCAAGTTCGAACTTGAATTCGAATCTGAATCCAGGTACTTTAGAATGCATTTACTGAAGATGATAACACCACGATATGACTATACACATATTTGTTTGGAGATCGTATTTCCTATATATATATGTCTGAATATATATGTAATTTGATGTGTGTAATAAATAACTCAAGGAAAATGAATTGCTTGTTCTTACAATTTATGATAAACATGTCAGGTTTGAAGAGGCAGCAAAGCTTATTAATGTATGTTGGCTCGAAATCCGTGGGAAGATTGCAATCTCCATGCTCTCACCCATGACGCACTACAAGGCTTACCTTGTATTCAAGCCATCCAGTGGAGCTTACGGGTTCGGTTTCCATCCTGCAGAGGTTAGTTTCGGCCTTGTTGGCACTGAAGGTTATAAGAGAACCGTCTACATGGATGCAGACAGAGGCCTCCGCCAACGTTACCAGATTGTACCAAGACGAATTGGGCTTTTCACCCGTTCCCGTTTTCTCGGGTTGCAAAATCCGGCACCTAGAACTGTGGCCAGTGATGATGATCAATATCCAAAGGCTAGAGGAGATGGGTGGCTGGAGGTCGAATTGGGTGAGTTATTCAATGATGGATGCACCGATGGCGAACTGGAAATGAGTGTTTTGGAGGTAAAAGGTGGCTATTGGAAGGGTGGTCTCATTGTCCTGGGGATTGAAATCAGGCCTAACCTCTGCAAATGATTTCGATCGGCAACAGGTATGTTCAATTATTTTCCGACCCTGTTTATATATCGAGAGTTAAAATCTCGAACATGTGGTGTTCATCGAATTTGTGTCAAGATGTGAATACTGTTTGAAAAATAACTAGTTAACTAAGGGTTACCTCGGATTGGCATGCAAAATTTTTGACATCTCTCAATTGAATGATTACACAAGACCTAGTCAATTTTGTGTGCTTGTACTGGATGATATTTGTTACGCAATGTAGAGACAGGATAATTAACCTTTTCTAGAAATTTATTGCTGAATCCGTTCTTTTCTTTATGTGATGATATTTATTTTGGCATTTCCCATATCAAGAAAAATATGAAAACGTGTAACCCCCTAGACCCGGCCTATGCGTTTCGACTAAGTCTAGTGGATCACATTATAATTATTAAAGACATTTTTCGAAACCGTTATTCCATCAATATAAAATCACATTATAAAAACATGAAATTATAAACAATTTATACTATCAAAATCCAACTTGTAAATATAGTACAAATAAATAATAATTTAATTTAAAACATGTCTTCAAATTCAAAATCACAATAAACCGAGCAGTAGTAGCAAAAGTGTTATCATTATAAAATCCGATATTTTAAAATAAGGTCCATGTCACCAAAATAAAGTAAACTTGACAGATAAAAACATTACAATCTGATTTACTTCAAGAGATATGTTGATCCTCCAAGTGCTCGAACCAAGGTATCTACCCAACAGTATCTGAAAGGGGAAAACATTTTCAAAAGGTGAGCTAGGCTCAGTGTGTCCCAACATTTCCATAAAATCACAATAGGTACAAATCATATTCCAGTAATCTCACAAATTCGTAAAAGAGTTAACTTTTGAAAATCATAGTTTAAACCCTTTTCTGGTACACCATCAGTAGTTCCCAAAATTATTTCCATATAGCTTACTTTATGCACATAGCAAAAAGAAAGCCGACTTAAGGATAGGCTCTGAAGCTTGTATCCTTAAGCCCAAGTCAATAAGTCCATATAGCTTACCCTAAGCACACAGCAAAGGAAAGCCGACCTAATGAAACATCTTGGGGCCCTCAAGAGTCACATTAGGCCCAGTTAGCTTGATCAGAGCTATTCCATCGTATTTCAATTCCAAAATTCAATTGCACCGTGACATAAACTCCATAAATCCAAAACATGGTAATCATATACCATTTCAAAACAAAAATTAGATAGCAGCCATATTCCATAAATTGTCACATTAAATTGGTGCATCCATAAAACAATAGCCAATGAATTCGGTGTACCACGTATTAAAACCAATAAAACAGTTCAATAACAAGTAGGGAACACACCTCGACAATAGATTCAAATAACAAATCTACTGATTGCTGGTTTCACCACGCTCTGCTACAGTTTTCGAACGGGTAATACTGGCACACGTGGTTTAACTGATCTAGAAGAGCTGGGTCGAGCTGTCGAACGATCCGGAGAGTCTCTTGTACCTTCAAACAATAATATTTATCAGTCTCAAATCCTATTTAATTGTTCAAAGCTAAACTTCTTAAGTATATACGCATTTTTTTGGGTTTGACTATCAATTTGAGGTATTTCGAGTCTGAATTTGGCCAAACGGATTACGGAATCGGAATCAGGGCGTCGAAAAACATAAAGTATGACTTTTCGAAAATTCAAATTCTTGGTCAAAGTCAAAGTCAACCACTTTGACCGTAGATTTGGAGACCTTCGGATTCGAATTTGACAAAACGGACCACGGAAACGGATTCGGCACGTCGAAAACTATCAGGATAGGTATACTCGGAAAAGATTAACGGTCGTTTAATGCTCGGTCAAAGCCATTTTAAGTTTTGGTCAAAGAAAGTCAACGGTCAACGGTCAACGGTCGGGTCGGGTCAACGGTCGGGTCGGGTCGGGTCAACGGTCGGGTCGGGTCGGGTCAAAGGTCGGTCGGGTCGGACCGGTCAAACCGATTTAGACCGGTCAAACCGGTTCGAACCGGTTGAAACCGGTCAAACCGGTCAGAACCGGTTGAAAACCGGTTAAACCGGTTTCCAGCAGCCACTCGCCCTGCGGCGGCGCGTGTGGCGCGTGAGGCGTCCTCCGGGGCCCTAAAAATCCCGGAAAAATTTCTAAAAATTATTTTGAGCGTTTCAAGATACTTACAACGATCGGTTCAAATTTTTGAACGGCGGAGAGCTCGATTTCAAATCGGCCGAATCTTTGACTGCACCACCTCCTCACGCGCCGCCGTCTACGGCGGACAAGGTTGACACCGGTGAACTCGGAACGGCACAAGGAACACGATGGTGCGGGAGGTGTCGTAAACGGAGCAACGATCAGCGGTGAATTTAAGATTTCCTCGGCGATAGAGCTAACAAAACCGTCGCTACTTTGACTGGAAATTCCCGACGTTTGGCCGCGTTTCGCTTCAATTAATTTGAAGGGTTGTTCCTCGCCGATGATGAACACAACGGTGGTTTCAAAACAACGATCGGAATTCGGACGGAGTCGGAATCGGCTTTGAAGTAGAGTGCGTGAGGAGAAATTTCACAATTGTTTTCTGTTTTGAAAACAGAAAACCATTCATACGCTTAAATGAACTTTTCTGCCGACACTAAAAGGAGTAATGCAGGGCTTGGTCCCTGAATTTCCTTTAACTTCTAAAATGGCCTAAAATTTTGAAAACTTCGATTTAATCCTCAAATTTTGCCAAATTACTTAATTAAATTTTTTTTTCTCTAAATTTTATTCCGGGTTGTTACAATTCTCCCCCTCTACAAGAAATTTCGTCCTCGAAATTTACCTTATGAGAATAGTTGAGGAAACTGAGCCTCCATTGACTCCAATGTCTCCCAAGTAGCTTCTGAGGGGCCTCGATTACTCCACTGAACTTTGACCATTGGAATTCGCCTATTCCGAAGAACTCTTTCATCTTTTTCTAAAATCTGAATGGGCTCCTCCTCATATGACAAATCAGGTCTTAGCTCTACTTCTTCAACCTGAATAATGTGACCTGGATCTGGACGGTATCTCCTCAACATTGATACATGAAAAACATCATGAATACGACTTAACTCAGAAGGCAACTCAAGCTGATATGCAACAGGTCCTACCCTCTTCAAGATACGAAATGGTCCAATAATCTTGGACTTAATTTACCCTTACGCCCGAATCTCAATACTTTCTTCCAGGGTGAAACTTTCAAAAGACCCGATCTCCCACTTCAAACTGTATATCCTTCCTTCTTTGATCTGCATAAGATTTCTGCCTATCAAATGCCTCTTTCAGACGGTCACGGATTAATCTGACTGTGTCCTCCATCTCTCGCACTAACTCAGGTCCCAACGTTTTCCTATCACGCAACTCAGTCCAACAGATCGGAGTGCGACATTTACGCCCATAGAGTGCTTCATAGGGTGCCATACGAATACTGGTCTGATAACTGTTATTGTAAGCAAATTCAGCCAACGGCAAAAAGTTCTCCCAACTACCATGAAAATCGATTACGCAACCCCGCAACATATCCTCCAGAATCTGAATTACTCTCTCAGATTGACCATCAGTTTGTGGATGAAAGGATGTACTATAATCCAATCTTGTTCCCAAAGCCGTATGTAACGCCTTCCAAAATCTCGAAGTAAATCTCGATCTCGATCAGAAATAATAGAAAATGGAATACCATGCAATCTGACAATCTCTGAAATATACAATCTTGCCAGCTTATCCAAAGTATAATTTACTCGCACAGAATGAAGTGAGCTGACTTTGTAAGTCTGTCAACAATCACCCAAACTGAATTTTTTTTCAAAGGAGTCATAGGCAAGCCAGTAACAAAATCCATAGTAATACGCTCCCATTTCCATTCAGGAATCTTGATAGGCTGTAACAAACCTGATGGATGTTGATGTTCTGCCTTAACTTGCTGACAAGTCAACACCTAGCCACAAAGTCAGATATGTCTTTCTTCATACCAGTCCAATAATACCTCTCTCTCAAATTCCGGTACATCTTATCTCCTCCGGGGTGCATAGCATATGGACTACTGTGAGCCTCAGTAAGGATAGTCTGCCTCAATTCAGCGTCATCAGGCACACAATATCTACCTTTAAAGCATAAAACTTCATCCTGATCAATTGTGTAATCTGTGTTGTCCCCTGCTCTACTTGCTCAAAGATGGAAAGCAAGGAGCTATCAAGGGGCTGCTTAGCTTTGATCTCATCAACCAAGGTCGGCTTAACTTGCAATTCTGCTAACAAAGTGCCATCGTCATATAAATTCATCTTGGCCATTAAAGACCTCAACTCCGATACCGTCTTTCGACTCAAAGCATCTGCTACAATGTTAGCTTTACCAGGGTGGTAATCAATCACGCATCATAATCCTTTAGAAGCTCTAACCAGCGACGCTGTCTCAAATTAAGTTCCTTCTGGGTCAGAAGATACTTTAAGCTCTTATGATCTGTGAAAATGTAACACTTCTCTCCATAAAGATAGTGTCTCCATATCTTCAAGGCAAAAATTACTGCTGCCAACTCTAAATCGTGAGTAGGATAATTACACTCATGCGGTCGCAGCTGACGGATGCATAAGCCACCACCTTACTTTCCTGCATTAAAACACAACCAAGTCCTGAATGTGAAGCATCACTATACACTGTAAAATCCTTCCCGGACTGTGGTTGAATCAACACCGGTGCTTGAGTCAAACCGCCTTTAATTTCTCAAAGCTCTCCTGTTGTGCCTCGCCCCAGTCAAACGACACATTCTTCCTTAACAACTTTGTCAAAGGAGAAGCAATGATCGAAAAGCCCTCAACAAAACGTCGATAATAACCAGCCAAGCCCAAGAAACTGCGGATTTCAGATACGTTCTTAGGTCGTTTCCAATTCATAATAGCCTCTATCTTGCTGGGATCAACCTGAACACCTCGCGCAGAAATAATATGCCCCAGAAATGACACTTCTTGAAGCCAAAACTCACACTTGCTTAGTTTGGCATATAGACGATGCTCTCTCAAAGTCCGCAGAACGATCTTCAAATGCTCGTCATGCTCTGCCTCCGTACGAGAATAGATCAGAATATCGTCAATGAAGACACCACAAAATTGATCCAAATATGGTCGGAACACCCGATTCATCAAATCCATAAAAGCTGCAGGAGCGTTCGTCAAACCAAAAGGCATCACTAAAAATTCATAATGACCATATCTAGTGCGAATGGCCGTTTTTGCAACATCAGATCCTTTAACTTTCAATTGATAATACCCCGA